AGCCCTAAAGCCTAAAACCTAAAACCTTATAAACCCTAAACCCAAAGGTCCTTGCAACACTGAGTCGCTCAGGGTCCGGTTGTTTCCAGCTTTCTTAAGGGAACCAGTGGTCTCCATTGTAGTATTGTCGTTCCTTGTTTTGCCCAGCTGTTTTTTGAGGGGTTAGGGTTCAGGATCATGTATAGGATCGTGTGTAGAACAGGTCCTGAGCCAGAAGTCGCAAACCTTCAGAGGGTTTAGGGTTCTTAAACCACAAGAGCCTAGATGGGAGTTGCCGAAAATGAGGGCACCTTATTTTGGGGTCCTTATAATAGTATTTAGGGTACTATATTAGGGTCCCCTGTGTTCGGAAACTCCCAGATTGTGAATCGTCACAGGCCGTGTGCCCGAGCACTTCAGCTGCCCAAGCTGCAGCCTTGGACGGGGCTACAAGAAAATCACCCCAAAACCCTATTCTCGGTCTTGAGGCCTCTAAGTCTATGTATATATACATATACATAGATATGTGTATATACATATATACAGATATAGACAAAAGTGTGTGTGTATATATATATATAGATATAGATAGATGCCTGATTAGTATTGCCATTGTGATTGTTTTTGGTTTGTCTTACCACTAATGTTGTTATTGTTATTACTATTATTCGTGTTAATATTCGTCTTCGTGTCACTATTACTATTCCCAATTGGTATCCTTATTCGGTGGACTCTTGTCTTGGTTTCCGGTTGCGCACTGTGTGGGTCCTCGAGGGCTTCTGATTCGACGCTGGGAATGCTGTGGACAACTACGATGGTCTAGGTTCTAGCGTTTAGGGTTTGTAAGGGTTTAAGGGTTTTCGGGTTGTAGGGTTTACGGGTTTAGGGTTTAGGGTTGTAGGGTTCATGGTTTAGGGTTTATGGATTTAGGGTTTAGGGAGCAATACAACAAACAAGCATATAAAAGCCCCAGCAGTACTCCTTTGAATTCCTCTTATACTTCTAGTCTAGTATTCCCCGAAATCCCCAATTGTAATTATTGAGGCTCCTGTATCATACGCACCAATATCTGCCAGTGGTCTGCACTGCACAGGTTTTCGGAGGCAATCTCCTCCAAGTTAACGTGTTCCTTCTCTCAAGACGTAAGGGTGGGGGGTTCCCCCGAAGTTTCAAAGCGCAGGTAGCAAAAGCTGCTTTCGACCTCCAGTATCAGGATCCGAGCCTTACGCTCCCTACAGTTTTTGTCGGTTGGGGCTGTGCGCAGATCCAGCTATTAGGGCTCACGGCTTAGGCGTAGGTTCATTCCAGTGGTGCACCTTGAACATCTCACGACTTCGAAATCCCAAGCCTCTTCAAGTCACTTGTTCGGTTTAGGGGCTTGGGGCTTCAGGGTTCTGAATGATGAAGTTCAGGGTTAGCCTGAGCCCTGAAGATAATTAGGCCTCAGCGCTTGACGGGGCCTGTTCGCATCCATTAGTTAATCCCGTCAGCTGGTTGTTATTTCCCGGCAGTAGGTTTATGGTTCAGAGTTTGGAGGCTGGCTCATGCTACTCCAGCGCGGGAAGAACGTGCATGCTGCTCACGCTATAGGTCTTTCCCTAGCTTGGACACTTGGTAATACACCTATCGTTGCAAGATATTTGTTTCAACTTGTCCAATAGTATATTGTGTTTAACTCGAACGAATACGTAGCAGACAGAAGCACCTGTCATGGTGCAGTCAACCCGTCGCATAGCAGCCACTCGATCTTTTGCCAGCTCTGCGTACCGCCAAAAGTCTGCATTGGTCACCGGAGCAGTCCAGGGGCTGGGAGAAGCCATTGCTCGTCGACTCGCTGATGATGGGTACAAGGTTGTCATCGCGGACGTGCAGGATGGGCAGCCGCTCGCCGACGAGATTAAAGGCGAGTTCGTCAAGACCGATGTAACTCTGTCATTGCTGGCTAACATTTTACGTGTTCGTGGGTACTTAAGCTCAAGAAGGAATAAAAAGATTGAATCTGTAATATTATCGCAACCATGAACTAGGTAGCTGATCCCAAGCAAGTACAAGCTGCCGTTGCGCATGTCGTCGCAGCTTATGGAAGTCTCGATGCCCTCGTGAACAATGCTGGAGTTGTTGGATCTGAAGCCTTGCTCGGGGATTATGACATTGAGGAATGGAGGCGAATCATCGACATCAATCTGAACGGCGTCTTCTATGGTCTTAAGTACGGACTGAAGCAAATGCTCCGGCAAGAGACTGGCGGCAGCATTGTCAACATGTCTTCAACTGCTGGATTCCGTGGTCTTATAAATTTGGGCCCCTACACGGCTGCTAAGTTTGCAATACGTGGCATAACACGCGCAGCCGCCGTCGAGTACGGCAACAACAACATTCGCGTCAATGCTATCGCACCCACCGGGTGTGAAACACCCATGGCAACTTAGAGGCTGAGTAGGTAACCTTTAACCTTTGGGGGCTTATATAACCATACTATAATTCAAAAGGTTAACCTTTTTAGGCTAGGGTACTCAGCGACTAAGGTAAAGAACTTCATTGAACAGAGCCCTGACCCGGCTCTCTCCCACAGCTCTTTGACGGGTTACCATGCAATTCCTGCTCTTCCGCAAGCAAGGGACGTGGCTGATGCATGTTCCTTTCTGTTGAGTGACCAGGCTCGGTACATTACTGGACACACACTTCCCGTGGACGCTGGTGCTCTTTGTCGAATAGCCAATGCTCCCGAGCGATTCAACTAGGTTTTCAACACTTCTCCTCTTGCAACAGATTTAAATGCTGCGGCGTATGAAATGGATAGCACGCTGCGGCGATGATGCCTCGACGGAGGCTGGAGAAGCTATTCGCGCAAAATCCTTGCCGCTAGGTGACCTGGCAACAAGTCCGCAACATCCATGTTCTCAAACGCAGCCGATCCCTGGCCCTAAACCCTAAAAGCCAAGCCCCAAACGCCAAACTGGCCCTAAACCTTAAACCCAAAACCCTACACCCCAAACCCCAAACCCTAAAACCCACCCTCCACCCCTGAACATAAAATGGGGTCGGACAAATTACCAAGAGTGTTCCTGAGGGTTCCGTGTTAGACTCATTAGACTTAGAGTCAGAGTACATATACTAAAAGCCCTATTCTCATAATTAATGCCCCTTATACTGCCGAACCCGTCCTTCACCGGCCAGGAAGTGGAAACTTCCATCGCACTTTGGGTTTAATCTTGAGACCGGAAGACGTGTATCAGGGTTTTAGGTAAGGCTTGGTGTTGATAGGGTATACCAATGGGGGGTCTGCAATGTCATTATGGCAAAAATATAAACCTAAATCCTTGTTCTAAGGAATCAAGCCCCCCCCCATACGACCTTGGAGTTTCGGGCCTGAACTCTGAACCCTAAACCCTGAACCCCGGACCCAGAACCCTAAACCGTAAACCCTGAACCCTAAGCCCTAAACGCTGAACCCTAATTCCTAAACCATAAACCCTGAACCCTAAACCGTAAACCCGAATCAGAAGCCAAAAGCCAGGTTCAAGGGGGGCCTGAAGTCTTCAGGGTTCCGACGTAGCATGGAAGCCTAAATAGCTACTGCTGATGGTATAAAAAATCATGCCTTACCTTAAGGATATACCATAATTCCCATAGTTTAGGGTCCTTTAAGGATCCTAAACTATGGGAATTCTGGTAATGTTCCTTATATGGGTAATGCAGGAATTATGTCATCAACCGTAGTCATGTTCTTGTGGGGCTCCTTATTATTATTATTATCATTATTATTATTATGTAGAAGCCTCAACGATCTACGATGTCGAAAGAGTCTCTAACAGTTTAGAAGGGGATTTTTTGAGGGATTCAGGTTCTATAAGGGTTCCATGAGGGCTCTAGAAGGATTGATTCTGTACTCAATATGGAAATCCTGTGACGGAAATCTCCGAGTGCGCAGGCTTGAAGAGCACCAAGCCTAAACCCAAACCCAGCAAAGCCTCGAGCCCTAAACCCTAAGACCCGAAGACCCTGATACCCTAAACCTTTTGTCAGGGTTCACACAGCCAGAGGCCTCCATGTTGCAAAACTTTACCCTCCTCTGCTTCTACGTTTTCTACGTGCGGGGAGCTTGGGTGGGGGGGGGGTTATGGTTTGGGATTTGGGGCTTCAGGGTTTAGGGTTGCGGGTTTTGGGTATGAGGGCTGTAGAGTTTGTAGGGCTCGGGGCAATGTAAGGGTTAGTGCTGAGGACTTCGGATGCAGAGCTCTAGGGCAAGCTGGGGTTTTGGGTTTCGGGCCCAAAAAACCCAAAACCCGAAAAACCCTATAGACACTAAGCCCTAATTGGGGCTGGGGACTTGTGGCGCTTCTTAGCACAAAGCTATCTCTTCTTGTTCAGATCGTTTCGGGCCCTTTCTGCGAGACGGGTTCCTGCCCGGGGCTATTTTTGGGTTTAGGGGTTTTGGGTGTAGGGGTTTAGGGTTTAGGGTTTGCCGTGGAATAGCACACAGGCGATTGTATCCTGAGACAAGGTGGTGTCGAGTGCATCGTACAGTGGCCCTGTCTATAGACGGCTTTTCTTTTTTCTTTCCCACCCCACTCCGTATAAGGCGGCCAACCACCCAAACCTATTCCTTTTGAGGTTTAGGTCTAAACTATGAAGTTCCGCACAACAACTTTTATGGCAGACTCTCCCGACCCAGCCAAACTCGCTGCAGAGGAGATGCGCAACGTGGTAGAGTCGTGGGCTGTCTGCCATATCCAGAAGCGCAGGAGAGATACTGAAGGAAGCGGCTAGACGGCCCGAACCGAAGTGCTGCGAGGCGTCGGATACATGACACTACAGCAGACAGACGCAGAAACACAAGATATGCAAAATCATAGGCTTCGGCTATGGTTTCACGACAATGCAAGCATGTGAAATCCTGTGTCCAGGGGCGTCCGGGGATGTTGGGGTGAATTGCGAGACACCTGCCCCCGCATGGTAGCCCGCTTCTGAGTACTTTAAAAAGGTGGCCGCTTCATCATTCAGCCCAAAGTCCCGAGATCTGAATGTTTTTTCAATAGTAGCTATAGACAAGAGCGAAAATAAGTTTGCCCACGAGCACACCTACAAACAAGCAAAGCGACAAATCAAAGATGCAAGCCAACACACACAAACACACACACACAGACAGAGACAGAGACAGAGACACCTACCTACCTACCTACCGACCGACCGACCGACCGACCTACCTACCTACCTACCTACCTACCTACTTACCTACCTACCGACCTACCTACCTATCTACCTTGGCTTCTGTGGGTGCTCCAGAGGCCAAAGCCCCTACCTACTAAGACTAAAAACCTGAAGAGTCACCAATAGGGTCCCTTGTTATATTATAAGTGTACTATGATGAAGCCCAAAACTTTGATCTAAGTAGTAGTAAGGCCCTTTTTTTATAGACAGGAAAGCAAAAGCACCCGAAAGGTCACTATCCAGGTTTCCAAACTCTCAACCCCCAAAACCCGAAGCACGATGCCCTCAACATGGAACCCTAAACCAAAGAGAAACTCTGAACTGCCAAATATATGACCCGCCACCTGGCACTCCAAGCAGCTCAGGGTCTACTTGATGCTCTCTGCGCTGCAGCTGAGTTACGATGCCTGGAGCCCCGGGATTTCTCAGAGGATGTTTTAGGTTTTGGGAATGGCCAAGAGAGGGAAACGGTTTGGGGTTCAAGGTTTTGGGAAGTTTTTGGGTTTAGGGCTAAGCCAATGCTATTGTTTTAGGGGTGTGGTCCAGGTGCAGTCAGGTGGTTCACTGTCTGAGTGCATGGGACCATTGGAAGGGTCGATCTGGTAGATTGCTGAGTACAGCATGCCTGCAAACGAATCCCCATATGCCATGAGTCTTAAAATAGGAATGCGGACATTTCGGCAGACGGCGTATATACTGATGAGACAACAACCACACAAGCAATGACCAAAACGCACTGCGCCCAGAGCACTAAGCCCTGAACCCCCCAAACCTACGGATTACAGTGGTATTCTACCATTACGAGATAATCCTAAACTCTTTCAACACCCGATCAACGCTCACCAAACAAACCTTTTTTGGTTGAATCATTATCGAGCCTATATAGGCTACAAAAAGGGGGATCTCCAAGCAAAGACATGAAGCCCTAAACCCTGAACCCTAGACCCTAAACCCTAAACTTTAAACCCTAAACCTTAAGCCCTAAGCCTCTAAACCCTAAACCCTAATCCCCTAAACCCTAAACCCTAGGTGCACATCGTGCGGAGCGGACTCGGTCTGACCCACAGCGCCACGCGGCCTCACGAAGCCTTGGGTTTAGGATTTAGGGCTCAAGCTGGTTCAGAGCTTCGGACTTCTAACAGGGTTTAGGGTTTAGGGGAGTTTGTCACACAGGGTTTCGGGGTTCAGGGATAGCGGCTTTGGTTTTTGTGATGTGTGGCGTTAGTTCTTTAAGGTTGTCGAGCTTCGCCCGAAGCCATAAGAATCCTCAAAACCTTCAGCTCTTACCCCGAACCTTACACCGCATAGTTCAAAGTTTACAGCCTAAACCTTACACCTGACACCACACCTTACACCTTCAACAGTTCGACCCCCTCGACCTTAAGCTCTGAATCCCACACCCCGAACTCCCCTAAACCTATAAGCCCCACCTCCGAAGTTCTGAGCCTTCGGCCCTGAATCCTAAGTCTTGAACCTCAGGCCCCCCAAAGCCGGAAACTTGCATCTCAAGAACTCTGAACCCGGTTCTCCTTAAACAAAGGCAACTCAACCCTAAACACTAAACCCTAAACCCCTAAACTAAACCCTAAACCCCTAAACCCTAAACCCTCAAGAAAGAAATAAATAGAAATTTCTTGTTGCTGTTGACCCCGAAAGCTCATATTTTCGGTCGGGACACAATGTTGCCATTTTCGTGAATAAACCAATTTCAGTTTCAGGGCTGCCCCAGCCCCGCCTGCCGAGCCCAGCCCGGCCCAGCCCCCCCCCACCCCCCACGAATGCCCCGCCAGTCCACCGCCAGCGCCCCAGCCCCAGGCCCAGCCCAGTGCCCAGCCCGCCCAAGCCCAACCCCCCCTTCACGTTGCCCAGCCCAGCCCAGCCAGCCCAGGCCAGCCCAGCCCAGAAGGCAGCAGCCCACCCCCAGATTCAAAGTATGGTTCCAAAAAAAAAGTTTCGGTCAAAACTCGGTCAAAACTTTGGCACCCAAACCCTTAACAATTTCTATAAACCCCTAAACCCTAAACCCTAAACCCCTATGCCCTAAGCCCTAAGCCCCTAAACCCTAAACCCTAAACCGTCAGCAAACATTGTACCCATACGAGTTCACTCAGACGTTCTTTTGGTATTGAGACTGCGCTTGCCGACGGCATCTTTCTGCGGAATATTTTCACCGCAAGGCCTTCCACCGCCAGCCAATTGGATGGGCCAATCAGATTTGCAGCTCAGTGCATTCGAATGGCAGATGCCGCCGAAACTTCATAAATGCTTCAAACCTAGAGGCACTTGCTTTTCCTTAGCCGCCTTCTGAAAGATGCTGCGCGGTTCAGGTTCAGCTTGGAGCTGTGTGCATCTCCGCCTTGACTGCGTTGGAACCCTTCGCCCGTGATGGCGTAGCTTCCTGTGCAGGCTGCCCTCGCTTAGGTACCCTAGCTCCCCAGGCTTCTCCGTTTCCTTGCCTCCTAGTTCTCTGGTAGTGGCTTGCCCGGAGTTTGCTAGCAATGTTCTAGCTGCGCCTGATCGTGCCCCACAA